AGGGGACGGGGAGGCTGGAGCTTCCTTTGACTGGCCGTCCTTTTCAGAGGAAGGCCACGGACCCCAGCCGTTTCACCAACCGAGGGGGCAACCTCTTGAAAGAGGAGAAGCTGCGGGCGAAGCTGCAGAAGACGCTCCCCAAGGTCTGTCGGGTCCGGGGGGGGGGAGGGGTGGGCAGGCCAGCCAAGAAGGGGGCGGCTCGACTAAAGGCGGCTGCTGCTGCTGCTGTGTTTCAGCTGGAGGAGGAGCTGCGGGGTCGGCTGGAGCTCTGGGAGCAGGAGCACGGCCAGGCCTTCCTCGTGAAGGGGCAGCGCTTCATGGAGCACGTGGCAGAGCAGTGGCGGCTGCACCACCTGGAGAAGGAGCGGGAGAAGCAGGAGCGGGTGAGTGAGCGAGGGGGCGGTCCCTGGGCCACACACCCCCCCAGGCGGATTGGCCTTGGTTGAGCTGGCAGCTGCCTCTGGGCCTTCTCTTCCCACTAAAAAGGGGGGGGGGAGCCCTCCGGACAGAAAACAGGCAGGCGGAGTCAGATGCCCAGGCCTGCTTCCCCTACGGCCTCTGCTTGGACTGAGGGAGAGACGGTCTCTCCACCCCACCCCACCCCCAGGTACAGGACTTCCTTTTTTGTCTCTTTCAGCAACTCAAGAAGTCCCGTCAAATAGAGGAGGAGATGATGTACGGGAGCACCCCCTGCACCCCCAGCAAGCGCCGCGTCTTGGGCACCACCACCCCTGGGAAAGCACGGAAGGTGGGTGCGTGCAGTACCAGCGGGATCTGGCCCGCCGCTGCTTGGAGAGGTGTCCCTTTCCAAAGGGGATCATGGAAATAAATGGCACATCCCCGTTTAGAATACAGGAGGAGAGTGAAGATGCCTGCCAAGCGCATTGATGCAGGGAGTTCCCCGGGTTCGGGAGCAGGGTGGAGGCTGGCCCTTCAAGCGAGAGAGGGCGCACTTCAGTGGCTGTATCGTGGCCCTCTTTCACGGGATTTTCTTGAAGTCTAGGGAAATCCTTCCAGTCATGCAGCTAACAGAATTCAGGCACTGTAAGAGAACCCCCTTGGCTTCCTGGCATTAAGTGAGTGGAGGAGGAGAAGTTGGCAGCCTCACTATAGCAAAGGGAGTTAGGCCTCCCAAGTCCAGGGAGTTTGGGCAGAATTTATTTATTTAGGACAAGGAAGGGCAGGGGGGTGCCTGGCCGTAGGGAGGGGCTAAAGGGCCTTCGTTTTTCTTGCAGCTCAACGCCACAGCGGCCACCCCCAACAGCACCTTCCGCTCAGCCCTGGGGGGCTCCGTCTTCCACTCCCCGGCATCCCACCCACCTCTTTCTGGAAGCAAGGTATCTGTCCCCCCC